TGCCTGTCCCCAGATGTGCCCGCAGCCTGATTCTCTTCTGTTCTGAAAGAACAGGGTTTTCCCCGGGACAGGAGGGCACCAGAGGCCCAGGGACAGCCTAGCGGAGGTGTCGGCTGGCACATCTCAAGGCCCTCTGAGCCCCTCAGTGTAGCAGCGGTCGCTGTCTCCTTTGGACAAACTGGGGTGGGGTGAGGGAGACCGAGCCAGGCCCTGCTCTCACGGCCTTGGGGCGCTTCCACAGTGAGGCTGGGACAGGGGCCGTGCGTGACCTGCGTCCCCTGGGCGTTGCCACGGTAGCCGCCGTTCCCCAAGGTTCTGTCCGTTAAGATGTCGATGTGAGATACACGACATTGGTAATCACAGCCTGGTGCCAACTGTGATGTCACATCGATGAGTTTTCTCTCCTAAATGTCTACATCTAAGTGTCTAAAAGTTAATAAGTCATAGCCCGTAAAGCTGTTTTCAGGAAAAGTGAAATGCTTGGCAACTGAAAGATACAATTTGCTGCCCTAAAGACGCTGGTGAAACCAGCTGGCGGCTCAGATGGTGAAAGTATCCCCAGCAAACCCGCGAACCCGGGGTCGGCGACCACGGGTTGTGTGAGGAGAGGACAGCTGTGTGCCTTAGTGTAGAAATTATTTGTTACGCTGGATTTTAAGTAGTATGCTCGTTAGAAACAGGATTTCTGTTTCAAGTCTGCCTCGAGGCACATGACCTTGACTAAATTACCAGGTCACCGTTTTTCTTCCAGGTTGTTGGAGCTGCTTGACTGTTTCCCCCATTTTGACAGTTTTACCCCTTTCCTTCTCTGTTCTGGCTCCTCCTCCCTCCCTGGCATTTCTCTGAGCCGCTCCTCTGGGGCCCACGCCCGGCCAGGGCTGGCCCGGCCGCTCCCAGGATTTCTCGGCACCTGCACACGGTGACCCTTACCTCCCTACCTCCATCTCGACCTTCTCCGACTTGTCTGTCTCTGCCCCTGGCTTCTCTGTGGATGCCTCCTACTCAGCGTGATCCCCCGGACTCGTGCGTTCCTCTCTCCAAGTCAGAGCGGGGCCCTCAGCCCTGCGCTGCCGGCTGGCTCCCTGTCAAAATGTTTCCTTCTCTCTTAAAAGCAGAAGGGAAAGGAACAAGCTGAAGTTGAAGAAAGTGCCTTACTATACACAACGGTAATACGTCTTTATGCCAATGCAGTTGTAAAATATAATTTTAAACATTTTTCTTTAGTGGAGGAAGAGGCTGGTGGCAGCGGAAGGGCCCACGCAGTCACAGTGCAATGCAGACACCAGCCTGTCTCCAGAGCAGTGGCGTTCCTACTGAGGGGGGCACCTGCAGCCTTACCTGCGGTCGAGAGCGGGGCAGGGACTTGGGACGTGACCTTAGGGACTCCTCCCGGCTCTGGCTGCTGGGAAGGGTGGCGAGTGGCTGGCGGTCCGAGCTGCTGCGCGGCTGCCCTCGGCCCTAGCGGGAGGTCGGGAGGCCCCCTTGCATCAGATACATGCGTGCACAGTCTGTCACATTGTCGTGTGAAGGCTTCCCTGTTCCCTGGTTGGGCGACCCGTTTCCACTTTGAGCGTCACCCCAACAGGGACAGTAGCAGGTCCACGCCGCCCCTGCGTGCCGTCCCCACCCCCGCTCTGGGAGCATCCACGCTTCCCAAGTGAGCAGAGTGGGAGGGAGGGGACACGGGGCTGGGCAGCTGCGTCTGGTCTGGAAACCCCTTGGAAGGTGCGCCAAGCTTTGAAGCTCAGGAACCTGGGTAACCTGCCCTCTCACAGGTCGTCCAGGATTCACCGCTGAAAGGAGCTTCTAGGTCCGGCTCGCCCTGGGTCGCGGCTGGGAAGTCCGCGGCGGGGAGCCATTAGGAAGACGGGCTTCTCTCTCAGTTACAAGGTGCACAGAGAATCGCAGAAGTTAGACGCCGGGACCCTTTGCTGTCGGGAAGTGAGCAGGGCCGTGGTCCTGCTGAGGCAGGCCACTCTGGATCGGCACGTTGGGACTGCGCTCTCCCGCCCTTACCCCCTGGTGACTCAGGGTTTCATGTTTATCAGGGATGGGGCGTTGTCCCCTGTGCGCCTTTGTTGGTGCATCTGAGGGTGACGTGTGGTTCCCTACTACCCTGTGGCGTGGACACTCCCCCCCTGCATCTGAAGCTCGTACCCAGATAAACACCAAAGGGTGTGGGAAACCTCAAAACCTCAGAGTTGGGAGGGACCTCAGCCACTGTCCATGCAGCCCGCAGTTGGTGTCCTGACCTCCCACGGTGGCCACCTGGCTTGTCCCGGAGCCTCTGAGGCCACCTGTGCAGTGTCTGGGGAGCGCAGAGCATCCGTAGGGGCTCTGGGGCCGAGCAGACCTGCCTCCTTAGCATTTGTATGTCCGTCCTGGCTCTGCCTTAGAAAGATGCTCATTGTCACGCCACTGCACAGCCCCCAGCTGACAGTCCTCAGCCCCCTCCTGCGCCCCTCCTGCCCCGGTGCAGCGCCCCCCATCAGTCACGGCCGAAGCGGGCCTCCACATTGGTGGGTTGAAGCCCTAACCAACCCCCAGTACTTCAGAACATTACTGTATTTGCAGATAACGTCTTTAAAGAGACAGTTCAGTTAAAATGAGGTCATTAGTGCGGGCCCTAATTCAGTCTGAGTGGTGTCCTTATAAGGAGACGAGATAAGGACACAGACAAGCCCAGAGGAAGGGCTGTGTGAGGATGCAGGGAGGAGACGGCCATCAGCAAGCCAAGGAGAGAGGCTTGGAAGGAGCCAACCTTGCTAACGCCTTGATCTTGGGCTTTTAACCTCCAGAGCTGTGAGAAAATTAGTTTCTGCTGTTTCAGCCAACCGGTCTGCAGCACTTTGTCATGGCAGCCCCCGCAGACTCACCGGCGACCCCCCACCCTTCTCTCTACGCCGTGTGAAGTGTGGCATCCAGAGACCCACTTGTGAATAGGCCAGGGCAGAAGAGGTCGGTCACCACCCTTGTTGGCAGTGCAGGCCAGGGTCCCGGGCACTTCCAGCAACTTCCAGTCCTCCACCTCCAAGGTTCTTGTTTCAGTTGTTTTCTAAAGGATTCTTGCATCCTGGCTGGGTGGCTTGGTTGGAGCGTCATCCTGTGCAGCAAAAGGTTGCAGGTTTGATTCCCAGTCAGGGCACATACCCAGGCTGCAGGTTCAATCCCCAGTCAGGTCGCTTACAGGAGGCAGCATATTGATGGTTCCTTCACATTGCTGTTTTTCTCTCTCTGTCTCTCTTTTTCCCTCCCTAAAATCAATAAACACATCCTTTGGTGGGAATATAAAAATAAATAAAAAGTAAAAATAGAATTAAGTGTTCTTGCTAGTCACTTTTTTTTTTTTTTTTTTGCATCCTGTACTAGATGCAGTTAAGTTTTTGAACTTGGTTGCAGCATTTGGCCTTTAACCCTGTTCAGTTTTGCCTGCCTTGGCTGCATGGCCAGTGACTGTCCCCAACCACATGGGGTAGCATTCGGGTTGAGCCCGAGAGGTTCCAACAGCACACCTCCCATCCCCTGCGGAGAATTCTGGGTTTGGAAGGAGGATCTCCTTTTGAGTGACACATGGGACAAAACTCAGGTGAATTTGGGGACAGGCAGTGTGCAGTGCGGTTACGGTGACAGTTCCGGTGGGATCGTTGGGGGAGGACGCGCGGGTCAGAGCAGCCTCAGGTGCAGAGATGCGCGGTGGTGGCCACAGGAGCGGGGCTTCGCTGAAGGAGAGAGTGCGCGTTCTGAGGAAACGTCCTGCTCAGCCAGAGTCACATGGGACACGTGGCAGAGAGATGTTCTAATCTCTGTCCAGAAAATTCCTTCTGGGACTGGAGGCGGTAAAGGCATAGAGACCCCAGAATGAAACGTGTGCCGAGGCAGCTACAGAAAGCGATCTGCGTCACCAAGCCGTCACCCGCCGGGCTCCACGGGCGTTGCGGCTGAGTCTCTGGGGCAGGCTTAGCCCGGAAGGAGGGGCTGCGTTTAGAAGTAGACCCATGGTCACCTGCCCTTCACCTGCCTTGACAACGTCAGGAGCTGTATTTTTCCGAGCGATCGTCCCTGAGTCCTTTGACCGGGGGCAGGCGCCGTGGACGTGCCCGGGCCCTCCCTGTGACCATCCCCGTGTCTGCTCAGTGGGGCAGCGTTGGCGGATTCCATGGACAGTCCCGCCCTGGGCAGCTCCGCGCCCCAAGGGCCAGGCGTGGGCCCCGGGCGCTGGGGCAGGCACAGGTGAGCCCCATTCGCTTGCAAAGGCACCCAGAACATTCTATGAGAAGAACTGTCTCCCACATGAGTAACTTCTCATGGCTCAGTCACCTCTAGGAAGGGCCACACTCTTTGAATCCATTTCCATTTCTGCGTGCACCCGTTTGATGATGTTCATGGGACAGAGTTTAAAAACTGCGTCCTCGGTACAGTGTGTCCTGTTGGTGGTCCTAGGACCTCAGGTGAGTTTTTAATCCCGATCCTGTCTCTCTATGATGTGAGGTGACGGCTACCTCTTCCACCTGCGAGGTGGTTGTCCTGAAGAATAGGGGACACAATGACTGTGGACCCAATTTGTGAATTAAAAGGCTGTATTCAAATGGAAAGCGCAGGGATAAGTTGATCCCCGCAGATGACATAGCCTTTACTTTCATTTATTGTAAACTCAGGTCACTTCTGTGCGTCAGAACTGGGGGACCTGTTCGCATTGGTCTCAGCTGCCAAGTTCATGGTTTGTAACTGTGTCCTCCTTCTCCACCCGACCTTCCCAAACTGAAGAGCCTGGTGCCGAGCTGGGCAAGCTGCCAGTTGGCGGGGCTGCAGGGTGGCCTTGGGGGTGACCTGGGGCCTCTGTGGCTGGGGACATGGGTGGGAGGGGCTGTGGAACCGGTGGCCCAGGGAGCGGGTGGCGTCCCCCTCGTTCCAGCCCAAGGATGGGAGCCCGTGCCCTCTGCGATGCTGGGCCTGGCCTGCCGTGCCAGGGGCTTGCTGACCCCTGTGTGTTTCTGTTAAAGATTTACGTCCACCTGAAGGAAGGCGGGGGCCCCGATGGGCTGGATGCGCTGAAGAACAAGCCCCAGCTCCACAGCATGGTGGCCAGGAGCCTGTGCCGGGACGCGGCCGGCAAGAACTACATCATCTTCACGGGGCCCAGCATCACCAGCCTGACCCTGTTTGAGGAGTTCGAAAAGCAAGGTGCGTCGGGCGGCGAGCCTGGCCCGCTGCCCTGAAGGTGCTGGGAGGGGCCTGGGGTGGCCAGAGTGTGGTGGCCAGCATGGCCCACAGCGAGGAGGCCTTCCCCAAGGGAATGGGCCCCACCCCTGGGGACGCTGGCCTCCTTGGCCTGCGGTTTCCCCAGGAGAACTAACCCCAAGTCCACACTGAAGAGGGAGCTCTACTGGAGCATCCTATGGAGGCCCCTCGTTGGGTGCACGTAGTTTATAGCCAGTGACAATGTCTATAAAATAATTGCTGTTTCCATAAAGGGACAGATTCAGGGGAACTCTGCTGCTGCTTGTGTTTTCTTCTTCCCGCCATGGGAAGAGGCAGCCGGTGCGCCCCAAGCCGAGCAGGTGACACAGGACACCCTCGTCCTGGTGCAGCCAGCCTCCCTCCCTGTTGTGGAAACGGGTTCTTCTTTCTCACTCTCTGGAGTGGAGCAGTTGGGGTAGCTCTGTCTGTAGAGAGTCAAGCGGCAGGGCGCCCTCTCCTTTTGGAACCCCGACCGCTAGGGGTTCGCCGCCGCCCCCTGCGCTGCCGTTCAGGAAGGAAAGGAGTCCCCCAGTCCTCAGCCTGGGACAGGGATCAATGACAGGTGCTGCTGGGAATGATGCTGTGTCAGCCTCCAGTGGGCTGAGAGGAGAATCAAGGATGAGACTGTCCCCAGGTCTTCAGCTGGAGCGTCACCTCCAGGCATCCAGACTGAGGACACGGGCTTCGGGGAGGAGGGGCTTCCCCGTGGCTGTCTGTGGCTGCCTGGCCCACCGAGGCCCTGAGCAGGGGGACCCAGAAGGGCCCGGAGTCCAAGGCGGAACTTAGAGGCCGCCTGTTCCTACTGGTCTCCACTCACAGTCCTGCCCCCATGGAACCTTCTGGGGTGCAGGGGCCACGCTCAGGCCCTTCTCCCTCGGGAAGCTCTTCCCACTCACTCTGCACTTCAGGCTCAAAGGCGGGTGCTGGCCTAGAGCACGGTGTTTGAGGACTCTCTCTTCCGCCGGGTTTAACTTCTCTCCCACGGGGATGGGCCCCGTCCTGCACAGCCGCCCCTGGGTGCCGTGAAGACTGGGCAGGCCTGAGCCCTTGGCCGGTCACGTCTTGGTGACAGTGTTAGGGTGACTTAACTGTGGTCAGGTTTGGAACTCATCTTTGCCCTTCCAGCCATGGAGGTGCAGTTCCTCTCCTATAATGTGGGATGATAATGGGGGCACCGAAGTTTCTAGAAGCGGAAGGGATAACAGGTGCACCTGTTTCATTAGCGCTCTAACAGTGAGAACCCCGGTTGGCACTGTCGCTCCCCTGCTTATGGTATAGCTCCGCGCGCACTCTCGCGTATACCATGCGGTTGGGGAGAGACATCACATCTGGGGAAAAAGCCCCAGGCTTCAGCAGCCTCTTCTAGAGGAATTCCAGAGGGCCCGCCTCCCACGCACCGGCCTTAGGCCGGCAGTCCCGACCTGTCCCCCGGAGCATGCCCGCGGCCCGGGGAACTGCCGGGGCCTCCGATGATGACATCCATGCGGTTTCGCGTCCCCGCCCCCCAGGGATTTACTGCTGCGGCCTGCTCAGCGCCAGGAAGAGCGACTGCACCGGCCTGCCCCTGTCCATGCTGACCAACCCGGCCACGCCCCCCGCCCGGGGCCAGCACCGCATCAAGATGAAGGGCAACATGTCTCTCATCTGCTGGTACAACAAGGGGCACTTCCGCTTCCTGACCAACGCTTACTCGCCGGTGCAGCAAGGTGGGGGCACCGCTGCGTGAGCGGGGGGCGGGCGGCACAGGGCACTTGGGTGAGCTTGGGGTCCTGTCTACCTTACCCCCAGGAACTGTGGGGACTCAGAGCAAACAGTGGGGGTTGTTTCTTTACAGGGGCAGTGTGACCTGCTCACACCCCCGTGGACTCCGGGGGCTCTAAAGCAGCGCCGCAGCCCCAGAAGATGCCAAAATTGAAATCAGGCAAATTAAAACGGAGCTGGTGATGGGGAACCTGCCAGGCCTGGGCCTTGGGGGATGTGGGGGCCGTGGCTGAGATGGGGGACTTGGAGCGGGGATCCTCAGGGAGAGTGTTAGAGAGAGACAGCGCTCCTTGGAGGCTGCAGGACGGCCCTCCCCCACCCCCCTGGGGAGCTGTCGAGCTCAGCCCCCGGAATGCCCTGGAGGCCAGATCACCCGATACGGGCACCTTTGAGCGGAGAGGGGACCCGCAAGCAGCGGGGTCCAGAAAGGACCCTGTGGCCAGGAGGAGGCCTGTGGTCTGGGCAGGCTGACCCTCAGAGCCATAGGACTGCCCCAGGCCTCTGAGGCCACACCCCCAGGGGCGGGGCCCAGGAGGCTCAGTCCCTGGTCTTCAGTGTGAAAAGCCAGTTTTGCTTGCAGGGGGCACAAAAAAAAAAAAGAAAAGGAAAGGAAACTCCCATCCCAGGACTCAGTCTGGGCAGGTGGACCTGTTCAACCCTTGTGTCCCGCATGTCTCTCAGGGTGGGGAGGGGCACCCCTACAAAGCCCCTTCCCTTGTGCTGCAAGGGGCGTGCCGTGTTTACTTCAGCTGTGTCCATTTCAGCCGTGCTAAAATTTCCCAGTCCTTTGAACTAATCCCTTTATAAAAAACCCAGCAGAAGGCGCTGTTCTCACAGTCCCAACAGGCCCCGGGGAGGCCGGGCAGAGGGGGGGCTTGGGAGTCTCAGCCACATGCGCCCTGGGCCGCTGGAAGGAAGCGCTGGCCCGGCCAGGCTGCGGGGGAGGGGAGGCTGAGGAGGCCCTCGGCCTCTCACGCCTGAGCCTGGCGGTGGGACCCAGGGCTTTGGCGTTGCCCCTGGGATCCTGTCCCCTTTTTCCGTGGTGGCGGGAAAGGCGCGGATGGCATGTGTGTGGGCGGAGTTTCAGGGGCTGCTGAGTGCAAAGGTGCTTTCCATCCCGTAGACCACAGGGGCCCCAGAAGTCCCGAGAGGCATGACAGGGCCAGCCTGGGGCCCGAGGGCACCTCCTTGTTCTTCTGAGCCTCAGATTTCACCTGCTTTGACAGAGGCAGGCAGAGCAGGCGGAAGTGACTTCCAGAGCGCCCTGACCTCGGCCTCTGCTGCCTCCTCCTCCCCTTCCCCTCCTCTGTTTTCTGCTTCATACCTGGTCACCCAGGCAGGGTGGACACAGGTACTTCTGTAAGCCACAGGTCGGGCACGCTTGGGGGAGGCGGGTCTGAGGGGCACTGACCCTCTGTCCCCACAGGGGTGATCATCAAGAGGAAGAGAGGGGAGATCCCCTGCCCCTTGGCTGTGGAGGCCTTTGCTGCTCACCTCAGCTACATCTGCAAATACGACGACAAGTACAGCAAGTAGGTGACTCCGCGACTCCCAGCCCAGGGGCGGGGGGAGGGGCCTGCAGCGTCCCCGCCACAGAATACAGTCAGCGGGCGGTCAGTAGTTGCCCCAACTTCAAAATTTAAAAAACGTAGACCCACGGAGATAAACGCTGAGCCGTCATCCTGGCCTCCTGGCTGGGCCCAGGCAGCCCGCGCCCCCCTGGGCACCGGGCCCCTTCTCCTGCCCTCCCGGCCCATGACGCCTTTCCTTCCACCTTCTCAGGTCTCTCAGCAGTTGGCCCAGACCCACGACCCTCTGTCCCGCTGGCCTGACTCCCCTCCCCCAGTCCAGACCCTTGGCACGGTCACACTGAGCTGTGTGTCTGCCAGCAGGGGTGCCTTGCTTGTTCCAGCTCTGAGTACCTGCCCTGGGTGTCGTCTCGTCCGAAGTGTCCACACAGTGTGGGCGGTACGCAAGGCTCCCTGCATGTGCACGCCCCGTGCCGTCCCCTGGCCGAGAGGCCTGTTTGTAACAGGAATTGAGAAACGGTTGCTGTTGAACCCCGGCATGCCTCTAAGTTCTTAGTATTGGGCCTCACCCCCAGAAGAGGGTTGGACCAACCCAAAAGGCAGTCTGGCACCGACTCGGCCCTCTTAGAGGGCAGGCGGCATCTTCTGGGCTTTTTCACGGTGGGGAAGGAAAGTCAAGGACCCCATGCCCCCCGGAAGCTCACTGAGGTGTGGGAGGGAGCATACTCCTTGGGGCGTCACCGAGCGAGTGTCTGCTGCGTCCTTCTCTGCGTCCAGCCCCTCGCTGAGGTCCACGGGGGTGAGGCCGAGAAATTGGCGCTGCTGAGCAGCCATGCGCTGGGTGCCTGCTCCGTGTGGGTGTTTGGTGCTGAGGACCTGACCCTCAGACACTGTGCGGTCGCGGAGCAGACAGACGTGTGGGCGGAGGAGCCCACGCAGGGAGGTCACCGAGGGCGATCTTGACCTTTGGGAAGCAGTTCAGCTGCACAGAACACAGCCTTGGAGAAGGCCTGAGCAGGCAGAGTGCCTGGGGCCCCATTCTCAGGGCCCCAGAAGGCCTGGCTCCCCGTTTCAGTATCCACCGCCCCCCACCTTGTGATGGAGACTCTTCTTCTTTGTCTGAAGGAGAGTTCTCTGTGACAGAGCCTCAGCAAGTGCTGACCAGCGCCACCCCCGACCTGGCTCCTACCCCCAGCTGCCCTGCTGACCGGGAGGAGGCCTCTGGGGACTCTCAGTCCTGAACTGGGCGCCCAGCAGCCGTCCGGCTCAGCCTTCCTTAGTCCCTCTGTCCTTGCAGGTATTTCATTTCTCACAAACCAAACAAGACCTGGCAGCAGGTGTTCTGGTTTGCCGTCAGCATCGCTGTCAACAACGCCTACATCCTGTACAAGATGTCGGACGCCTACCACGTGAAGAGGTACAGCCGGGCGCAGTTTGGCGAGAGGCTGGTGAGGGAGCTGCTGGGCCTGGAGGACGCCTCTCCGACCCACTGATGCCAGGGCCGGGCTTAGGTAAGGACCGCGGAGGGAGGGGAAGAGGAGGGAGAGAGCCCGCCGTCCCGCCCTTCCCGCCCAGAGCTGCCGGTGTGGCCACAGCCTGGGAGGGGTACCCGCGGCCTCCGCAGGGACCCGACGGACCTGGACCGCGATGGCGGCCGTCCCGGTTTCCATTCCAGGAAGAGCGTGGCCTCCCCCAGGGGTGGGGGCCGCCCACCTCGTGGAGATGCTGTGCAAGGACAGGGCGCCACCCCTAGACCCTGTGTGCCACGTGCCTCCGGGGCCGCTGCTGGCCCTGTCCGTTCCGCGGGCTCCACCCTCGTGACACCCGGGGGGCCTGAGCACAGCTCAGCTCAGCGCTGGGGACCCGGGAGGGCTGTCACGACCAAAGGTGCCAGGAGCAGGATCGGCCGTAGCATGTTCTGCTAGAAAGGCCGCTTTGTAAAGATGTGAAGACGTTTGTGACAGGGTTCGCTTTTATGCCGTCTCTACAGGTGACCGGAAGCAAGCAGAGATTGGCTCCGTACCGCTGAGATTGTTCAGGTGTGTACAGGAGACCGGAGGGGTTTCCAGCAGTTGCCTCGTGCGAGCAGCTTAGAGCAGGGCTCGTGGAAGACGAAACCAATCGGGCGCCATTAAAACGTGGCGACGGGTGGGGGAGGGGTTCCAGCTCTGCTGAATGGATGAGGCCTTCTGGTCATGTCACCTGTTTGGCTGGTGGACAGAGAAAAAGGGAAAACGCCAACCATCGCAGTGCAGTGTGATGCTATTTTTTATTTTTAAATATATCTTCAGGTTATTTTCTTACTGTTTGCTTAAGATCTTCTGTGAAAGGAAAATGTCTCCCTTCTCTCCCGCCCCATTTCCCCTTGTGCCCCTCCCCCGCCCCATCCCGGCTCCTTGCATGATCTTGGTTCTGTGTGCTGAGCCTCGTGCCTGTGCCAGGGCCAGAAAGGGCAGCTCGCTGCGAGCACAGACGTGGTCGCATCCTCCAAGGACCACAGGGGACCTGCGGGCCTTCAGCTTTGTCACAGACCTTGTCACTGGCAGAATGACTTCTTTTGGAAAATATGTAGCATCTCTGAAACAAACAGCAAAATGTTTCTAGGGATGGCCGCTTGCTGAATCTCTTCCCCCGTGTGCAGTGAGCAACCTGGCACTGTTTGCCTGTCTCAGGTCGCACCTGGGGGCTGCGTGGCTGACACTGCAAACCCCGCGGGGGACGGGCCGCGAGCCGGCAGCGTGGCTTCCCACGGGGCCCGGGGCTGCTCACCGCGGGACGGAAAGGATTGTGTGACTGCAGCTGGCAGCCAGGGTCCCCAGAACATCTGGGGCTCTTTCTGAACTCAGGTTCCCTTGTCTCCATGGGAGCCGCAGCCAGAGTGGCCGACTGCCTGGCCGTTCCCACAGACGAGCGACGAGTCATTCCTGGAGCTCCATGACCCCCTTCAGCCCCCTTATGCTGCCCCCCCCATTTTTACAAGTGCAAAATCTGTCCTCCTCAGGCTTTGGGACTTGCTCCCGCGTTCTCACTCAGGGGCGAGCAGCGCAGCGGGCAGCATGCCCCAGCTCCGCGTCAGCCCGCCCTCGGCCCACGACGACCGCCCGCCCCGGTGTTCATCCAGCGCCACGGGCCGCGGGCCAGACTCTAAATCGCGTTTCCAAACACCGTCGCCACGTCCTTTAATTGGATTGAAAGCACTTTTACCACGTGGAGAAATATATTTTTAATTTGTGATGCTTTTCTACAAGGTCCACGATTTCTGAGTTTAACGTGTTTCCAACACTTTAGGGAGACCAATGGAAGCGGATGAATTTTCTTTTCTGTCCAAATAAGTAAAAGAAAGAATAAAAGTCTATTTAGATGTTGATTCTGTGTTAATGTGTGTGACCTGGTTAAAAGGCCACACGTCGTGTGCGGCCCTGCCCCCACCCGTCTCAGCATCGAGCTGTGAGGGGTCTCCGAGCTGAGCTGGGGCGTCTGCGAGGGGGGGCGTTGGGCAGACACGCCATCGTTGGTGAGTGGCATGAGGAACCGCCAGCTCCGTCCCTTCGCCTCTGGTCGGTGTTTAATGGCACAACAACTTCCCCCAGGCCCGGAAGCTGGGGTGAGAGCGACTCAGTGATGCGCTGGTGGCAGGGAGATGGGAGGCTCTGGGTGCCGGCCACCCGCATGGACCCCGCACTGTCCCAGCGGCAGCGGTTCGAAAGCCGCGATGACAAAGGTGGACAGACGAGGCCACTCTTGCGGGACGCAGAGTGTTGCCCGGCACCAGCCCTTTCCCCAGAGACCGCGTGAGGCAGGCGTGGCCCGTCGCTGCCCCGGCTGACGGGGAGAGGTTGGACAGCGGGCCAGGTGAGCCGCTGACTCCCACGCAGGCCGGCCGGACGCCGAAGACCGCGCTCTCACCGCTGCCCACGCTGGCTCCCTGGGCCTCCCGGGCCCCCCGGGAGAGCTGGCTGCTTCATCTTCGACTTGTTAAATGTCCTGAGGGGGCACTTCCTCTCCTCTACAGCCTCTGTGGAAAGGAAAGCAAACCTCTCTTCCGATCCCAAATGCTGCGAGGATCTCTGTGCTGCCTGCCAGCGTCACGCCCACCCTTGGGTGTCCTTGTGCTAGACCAAGGTGGGCGCTTCCTGGCTTAACCTGCTGGTGACTGCAGACCCAGAGGGCTTTGGGAGAGAGACCAGGTAGGGGCCTCGGCCGGCCCTGTGCCCGAGCAGCCTGAGAGCACCAGGGAGGGGGCGGGGCGAGGGGCACGGGCCAGCCGGGCTCGGGGAGGGGCCAGAGTGACCAGTCTCCAAAATGCCTCAGACTCTCCTCAAGTCTTTGCCCGCTCACCAGCTCGTTGCTGGTCCTGTTCCCACAGCCCTGGTCATCTGTCTGGGGTAGAAGGCATCATCCTCCCTGTCGGGGTACCAAAGGGAAGGGAATCCCCAGAAGGCCACAGCGCACTCACCCGGGGAAGTGACCCAGCCCCTGCCCCGGTAGCCACAGCCTGCTCTGCGGAAAAGCTCTGTCTCTCATGTCCCTGCCGCTGTGGTCCCTGTGTCTGTGGCCTCTTTGTGTCCCCAGGTGCCTCCTCTCTTTGTTGGGAATACTGGGACGTTCCACTTTTGGTTTCATCGTTTTTCATTCTGTGGCCTGTCTTTGAAAGTGTGTCTAAACCTCCTTTCTAAGGATGTCATCCTCTCCCAATGGGAAACCAAAAAGCATGTCAGGGACCAGTGTGGTGCCCAGAGCTGTTGCTGTAAACCGTCAGCAGGAGGCGAGGGCGCGTCAGCGCTCGCGGCGCCCACCCTTCAGCCGCTGGTATGTGCCCGGCACACGTGTCCCTCTAGGTGCTGGCCCGTGCCCCGTTTCTCCACCATCCAGGGGCGTCCTTGGCTCTGACCTCTTTGGCAGCCACCTGGCAGCTTCCTTTTAGGGCACGGGCTGCTGGGGTTGGTGACGGCTCTGTTTGAATCCTGTGCGCCTTCCCGTGCCCGTGGCGGGGAGGGGTGTCCGTGTTTCCGTTCACAGCCACATGCACATCTTCCAGAAGAGGCACCTGTAAGGTGTTTCTGTACGTTCTCATCCTCACGAGCTACGATACACTATTGCTTGGGAACTTGGTCTTTTGCGTCCACATTTGCGACCCTGTCTTCTGTAACAGACCCACAGGAAAGCGGAACACAATTAGCAGCTTACAGTCAGGTGCGAGGGCCCACGCTTCCTTCAGGTGAGGCGGTATCTGTGGCCTCGGACACAGCAAGAAATGGCTTCTCCTCTCCCCTGCCAAAGGGCCCTATGGCCAATATGTCTGTTGGATCTTTCTCATTGATCCTCTTACTCATTCCCTTGACCAGCCCTTACCAAAGCCTCACCGTAACAAAAAGGACGATGAATGGGTACAGTGTGCTCACAGTGCAAGCTTGGCTGCAGGTGCGCTCTCTGCTTGTTTCTTGACTGCCCTGTGAGCTAAGACCCCCGCTGTTGGGGAACGGGGAAAGTGATGCTTTGAGAGAGAGCAGGGAACTTGGGCGAGGTGGAGCTGGCATGAAGCTCAGTGCCTTCACTGGTCAGTCGCAACCACCCCGCTGGGGGCTGCTATCTGGTGTTACGCTGCGAACCAGCCACAGGCTGACCCACGAAACCAGCACACGAAACCCGGTTGGTCCCCTGGAGGGGGCTGTGGGGGCAGTCCACTCAGGTGGCTCGGGGCTGAGAACCCACCCGCCTGGGGGAGAGGTTTCAGCCAGGAGGGGACCCGCCAGGAGGGGACCCACCGCGTGGCAGGGGGAGCAGTCAATCTTGCTACCGGATCCAACACACACCCCCTCTGAAATTTGGGGTGCCTGACCCATCAGACACCAGACGTGCCCGGCTTAGCATATCCCCAAAAGACGATCATGCACCCTCAGAAGGCCGGAAGTAGCCTGCGCCGGCGGGGACTTGCCAGTGTGCCCTGAGGCCAGCGACATGCGTGTCTTTGGAAGGTTTGGCGCCATGTGTGAGCAACTAGGCCAAAAGTGGTCCTAGCTGTTCAGAGGTTTCAGCCCAGTGTGTCATAAATACAATGTGCAGCTAGGAAGTCCGTGTTCCTTGCCTGCCCCCAGTGATTCTGCTTCCTCCGAGGAAATACAGAACCAGCCTCTCCCTCCAGCCTGATACTCGGCCTGAGGGATTGCTTGTCCCCAGGTGCCTTCTAGTGACCCACCTTCCTCCACTAGGACAGAGCCACGGCTTTGGCAAAAACAGTGACAGAAAAAAATCAATCTGGGCACAGAGAGAAATAGGCTCTGCCCCTGGCCCTGGCTGTCTCTTCAAAAACGCCCTGCGCTTCCCTCCTGAGAGCACCTCCCAGCGCGTCTCCCGGGAATGAACGGAGGGGAGGGGCAGGGAGGGGTTTCAGTTTCAATAGGAAGACCCACCGGGACAGTTGTAGGCATTTGTTAGGTGTAAAGTTAAGATCTGAGATGGTGGGTTGTGGGATTTTGATCGAGGCATTTTGAGTCACTTTTATCTATTTCGACACCATGCCACGGCCTCGATATTGACAATGGCCATACTGATACTGGCTGTAGCAACATTTATCCATACCTACGGGTAGAGGTTCAGCGTCCCAAGTGGGCAAGTGCCCTGCTAGGTCCTGTACCACTTAAGCCACGTGTCCATCCCCGGCCCTCCCCCTACAAGTGGCTGTGTTGGGAATCCAGGAAGCCAGGCCATTGGATCCACATAGACGCAGGAGGAAACGCAGGTGGAGCGCTGGCTCCTGAGGGAACGTGGGGCTCGTCCTGGTCGTCCCAGTCCCCTCGCGCATGTGGTGCGCGTCGCTGGGAGGCAGCCTCCAGCTCCCTGGGGAAAGCGTTTCCCGGCATTTCCAGAAAGCAGGGAACATTGTCCCTATTACAGAGCGGCTCCCACCAGAGGAGGGTCCCAGAGGGCGTTCCCCTGGGCAGGCAGGGCGGCAGGGCACCGCCCCAACTGCCGGCGTGGGCGTGGCCAGGACCGCCCTGCGCGGGGGGCGGGGGCGCTGTGGGCGTGGCCAGGACGTCCCAGCCTGCGGCTCCGATCCTAACCGAGGAGGGGCAGGAGAGAGCCACAAGCCAAGCCCTGACTCCTGCGCCCCTGGGCTCCTGGGCGGGTGAAGGAGGAACCAAGTTGTGACGACAGTCTCCTCCCTCCAGGCGAGGCCTTCACCCTCCCAGCAGCTCGCCTCCCTCGACCTCGAATGTCGCTCAGGTGTAGCAGCCACGGCTGGCCAGGAAATCTGTGTCAAAGAATCTGGAACGATTGTTATTTCATTTGGAAAGTTCAGTTAAGAATCTTCAGGAGAAAATTGTTAACTTATCAGGGGCTGTCCGTATATAGCCCGAGGGCGACATCACACAGCTCTGCCCCCACTGAGCCCCGCTTGCAGGGCATTAAGGTGTACACCGTGAGTTCTGGGTTCTAAAGTCTGCGGTATGGCCCCAAAAGATATGATTTAGTACATATGTCTCATCATGGGATTTTTATTTCTTCAACAGTTTGTTTACATTCGGGGTTAGAGTTGCTTTGAAATACAGTCCAGTATATTGCATTTGCTTCTCTCTGGAGGTTTCGGGGCGGGGGGCTGAGGAGGGCGGGAGGGTATGACAACGGACATTCGTGGAAAGCATCCTGGGATCTGCTGCCGGACGTGGGACCAGCAGAGGGCGCTCGGGGATCTGCCCCAGGGATTCTACGGCAGGTGAGGCCTCCCGAGCGGGTAACGGGGCCCCTGAGGCTGTAGGCGTGTCCAACACCTGAGCCTTCATCTGGGGGGGCCTCCTCCATCCCCCTCCCTTGAGGCCCCCTCCACTGCTGCCCTCGCCACTGCCCTGCCTGCCTCCTCAGAAGGTTCTAGAACCAGAAGCACAACATGGGGTCGGGTCCTGCTTGTCCGCCCACCATCCTCTTGGTCTCTCTTCCCCCTGTTCTTCCGTTTACAGCTCTCTGCCTCTGACTCCTCGCCCTGCAAACGCCTCCCCTTCTCTTTCTTGCCTTCGCCCCCTCTCTTACCTCTGCCCCCCGCCCCGCCCCGCCCCAACATGGCTTTGGTGAGCCACCGACTCATTCCGGGACTTTCCTCCTCCGAGTGCAGAGGGGCAGGTCTGGGTCCTTCCTTCCTGTCACCTGGGCCGGGTTCTCAAGCCTCAATGCCCGTGGGCTACCGGGACCCTTCCCTCTCAACAGTATTAGGAGTAGGGGTGTGATTCCTTGTACACAAGACATCATGAGGGGACAGGCACCCAAAGAAGAGGTCAGACTTCACAAGGAGGGGACGGGAGACCCTTTATAGCTGGGAATGGGTGGTGACGGGGTTTCCTTTACTGCCT